GTAAAAGCACTCAAAGTGCCGGGAGAAATCATTTATTGTTAAATTGTTGGAATGAAGCCGATAATGAGCTAATTTAGGGTGATGTGAAATCTACCGACATACTGTACCGGTCCTCAAAGACTATTAATTTAGTTAAACATTTGCATAATGAAGCAAAATGTAACCAAAAAACTTACCCTTGTTTGAGTTGTCTGATGTCCGATAACTGGAATTCCCACGTCTCAGAAAGCTGCTTCACTTCATCAGCCCGTCCATGGAAGGAAATCTGGAACACAACCAAACATCAGCCTGAAACAGACACAGCTTGCAGCTGCTGTAATAGTCCGGTCCTTTTCACGTTTCTGCTTTGGAAAAATGTTCACTAATATATTTATTCTTAAAGTCTCTTGACAGTCTAGTCACGACAAAGGACAAAGGAAAAATAATCATACGATCCACCGTTAGGATGTGAAGGCAGAAGAAAAATAATTTTGATATCCAGCAAAACGTTTTAAAGTACAAACAAGTGGTGCTAAACAAAACAAGATGCAAAAATCAGATGCTTTTGTGCTTAAATTCTCTTTTTGTTAAGAAGAAAAGTTGTTACCGTTTTTGAGTTGCTGCTATCACTGACACCACTAGGTAAAGATCCCAAGCACTCTAAGAAATTCAGGTATGTGTTAAATGTGTTCACCTTGGGCAATGTCACAGGAAGTTTAATTCAGTTGTAACTTAAATAGCTATTTGTAAGGGAACATTGTGTTTCATACAATGGACGTTTGTAAGGTAGAAAGCACCAAATCAACAATAGTAAGTAAAATATGAATTCATTACTAAAATATTAGTTGTATGGATATACAATTCTGTTATTTTTCTTCAAGCACAACTCTCAAATTGACATCATCATTGATAAGATGGCTATGTGTTGTATTGAGTTTGACTGAGTTTGAATTTCCTATGTTGAATCGCTTGACAGAATGCTCAATCTAAGATCAAAGATCTAAAAGAATGGGAAAAAAATGTTAACAAGCAGTTCGACTACAGTTTAAATCCTATGTGGTCTGGGTTTCATTCTGGCACATGAGACATACAAATTCTCAATTCTTTCTCAATACAAACTACACTTGGTGAAGCTATTTGTCTAAGGCTTTTAATACCATAGCTAACTGAATACTTCCGAAAAAGCTTTGTGTTTGTGGTTCAGACATGATTGTCCTTCCATGGTTTCAGTTTTACTTACAAAACCTAGAAGAGAAGGTTCTGTCTAATAATAAATCCTTCCCACTCTGTGCTTGTGCTGTGTGGTGTGCTTTAATCTGGTGAGGCAGTTTGTCTCTTTCCCACCTGATGTCTTAAGTAGTGGGTCAACACTTCAGTGGTTGATAAAATACTGTAGGTCACCAACTATTTGTAAAGAGTTTGGTGATGAAATGCACTGTAATTTCTGCATTTAAATCATGTTACTAAAACATTTTAATAAAACAAAAACATACTAACATGACAGCATAACACGCTGTACCTTTGACGTGTATAAGAATGCACGTCAAAGTTTTAAAAAAAAATCAATAGGTATAATGTTATATCATTGGATAACTTCAGTTTACACGCAGGTGGAGCCACCCATAGGAGGAAACAAAACTTTGCTATAATAGCATAACGACTGCAGTATTTTCAGTACTACTCTGTAGGTGACAACATGTTGAGGTCCAACGAATCCCGAGCAGAGAAGGTGTTCAGAGGGACGTTCGTGCACTCTACACAGAATGAAGCGGTACAGATTCTGGAAGACACTGTCTTGGGTGTCGACAAAGAGGGAAAGGTGCGTATTATCATTAATTAAACAAAAAAAAATTAGTAGCATTTCACTGCTTCAGAGATAGATATTGATCAAGAGCATAACCTTCTATTCTTTTTTTTAATGTAACACCGATTACTAAAATTCTTCTTTCATTCAGTTTAAAGTTTAAAATCGATGCACATCAAATGGATAGTACTTCTCGTTATTTTTTAGAATTTACGATTATTTCCACTACACGTGGATACTTTAAGACAGGTTACTGTTTCAGACTCCTACTTCTTTCACTTCTACGTCTACGTCTTTCAAACTACTATACCAAATACGCTATGCCAAGAAAAATTGTTAAGCATTAAAACTGCATCTTATTTTTTTCTTTAATTATACAGTCGGTTTCTTCGTGTGATTATTGGGATTCTGTATTTGGCAAAAACTTTTATCTCTTATGAAATATAATTTATGTTTAAAGTTACAGAAAAAAAGAAAATTACAACACAGAAGAGGTATTTTGTTTCAATAATATTTAATGAGATCGTGTAAAAGATGTTCATCAAGGAAAGATCATTTGAGGAATAACCAAGAACTTATACTAGTACACCTGAATACTAATACATGCTTGTTAGAATATACATTCTGCTTTAACTCACTCTACGAAACATATAGTATGTTTGTGTCGTAAAAGAATAAATCAAAGTTGAAGGGGGAAATTGATCTTTTTGCATATTTATTTGTTCTAGGAGAACAACCGAATCTCCTATTTTGTGCAACAATTCAGCAGTCTTTATATCTTCCTCATTTATACTAAATTGCTCAATTATTATGTTAGTCAATTCCTGAAACGCCCGACCTGTTAAACGTAAAAATAGAACTTACCAGTCCTTCATTTTCCATCAGTAGCTCTTTGGGCGCCCTGGTAATTTACATTTTTTAAATGAATAATAATAATGTTGATGGAGTGATATTGTTACTTTGTAAAAATACTGAGATCAAGTATATTTAATAACACTACCTCATTTTATATTGTAACGCAACGGGGGTTCAGGCGGGCGCTTTGCCGCATCTGGTCGGCCCCATCCCGACTGGAGGCTCTAACCCGGGACTTCCACGTCTCTCTGCAGCGACCTAGCCCCATGAGCTAAAGAGAGATCTCTCCACAGCCCAGTAGCTGTGGTCCTGCTATCACAGGGAAGGGCGGTGACGTCACCCGCTCTGGTACGCCGGCTCTTACACAGTGCCTGTCGGCCGTAAGCGTTACAATATTATTTGTGTTGAGTTCATCATTAAAAATCTTAACCATTTTTAGACACGATTTTAATTAAAGATAGGATAGGGAAGGACATAACCATACTCTGCTTGAGTAATGAATATTTTCTTGTTGCTATTGGCATGACAGGAGGCAGCATTTATGGAAATGTTAATAACAATGATCAGCATGCTTGGAGGGCATACAAAGGTAACACTGACAGTCAAAACATGAATTTGCCATCATCTGTAGGTTAGAGAACATTGGGTGACAGCAGAGAGAGTGATGGAGTGGTTTGTTCACAAGTCAATGCTGCTGTGCTCTTGATAAACCCGATGAAATGCAATGGGTGTGGAGACATCATGTAAGCATTACGGAGTCTTTGTTCTAGCAGTGGAAGTGAGGTGCTCAGAGGAATTTACTTTAAAACAAGGTTGCACCTAGTGCAGATTGAGGGCAGCCTTACTGTTCAGCCATATGTTAAAAAATCATTGAGGCTACAGATTTTCCAGCAGGATGATGCAAGATCTGTTGGGTGCTAGGATTGGAAAGACATGACTTCAAGAAAACCACGTTGAGCTCTTGCTGTGGTCGACATGTTCTTACAAGCTGAGTCCCAGAGAACGTCTCCGGGACAGACCGACCAAGGCCGTCCACAAGAGACTCTCAGAAGCAGCTAACATTTGCAGCTGGCTGCACCTGATGGCACATCCCACAGCAGTCTGTCAGGAGGCTGACCAGGTGCTTGAGTGAATGCTGCCTGTGTTAATACACATGGAGGCCATACCTGATACTAACTTCGTAATGTTTCCATTTTGACGGAGTATTTTAATCCCAATAAAAAAACATGACTCTCTGAGCTATACACATTACATTTATATATTTTGATATACTTACACATCTGCTATAGCTTTGTTCATATTTTGTTGTAAATCAGTTGGATTTAAATATTTGATTAAGCCCATTAGGTGTGTTTTTCTGTTTTTGCAACAGCTTGACCCAAATGAGAAACATTTTAAGGTGGTTCCACATAAAGACAGTTAAGAATTATATAGACAACTTTTACAACATATAAACATACTTTTCTCAAAACAACTGAATGAGAAGCAGGATATGAATTATTCTTGTGGATATGGGATTAAATGTATTAATTCACCTTATGCCTGAATACATTTATGTAAAAATAAGTATGCAGCAGGAATGTATAATATTTCTTTCCTTAGCAACTAAGTGCACACAGCAAATTACTTGCTATTGCTAGTTTGGACTGGAGAATAAGACTAAACCACACCTTTTCTGGTCTGAGCTCAAATCAGAGTACTCATTAATCCTTTCTAATCCTCTGAATATTCTATTTCCAAACCAGCATTACCATTAAAACATGTACATAGAGAGGTTGTATATTTTGTACACGTTTGAAAGGTAATGATTTGGGAATTGTGTAACTGCTGTCATTTATATTTACCGTTATAAGTAGCTGCTTAAAACACTTGTGTTGTTAAGGTTAAATTGCTCTGTGTTATGATCATTGTTTTGTGTTCTATTTGAAGTTTCCCATGATCTCTAGAGAGGACATAGTTCGAATGGAGAGGAGACATGCAGAAAAGGGAGCAACATACAGTATATACAATATATTTCCGAATGACAATGCATGCAATAAAATACTAATGTTTCTTGAAATATAGTTGACCTATATTTGCAATATACTATCAGTAGCAACATTATATGATTATTTTGTGACTTTTATGAAAACTGTTAAATAGCCATTAAATTATGAATGATACATTTTTCCAGACAATGCATTACATAAAATATTAAAAATACCTCAGCAGATGTGTGAGTATATAAAAATATATTCGAATTATAAATGTAATGTGTATCAGGCGGTGTATGTTCATTCAGTTTGAGTGATTAGGACCTTTACCTAGGGGTGTCAGTGATAGCAGCAACTCAAAAACGGTAACAACTTTTCTTCTTAACAAAAAGAGAATTAAAGCACAAAAGCATCTGACAATAGTAGTGTCACTGTTAAAGGACAAATTCCCCCCAAAAGAAAGAAAATCTTGTTTGTACAATGCTTTTATGGAAGTATGAAGAGGGCCCGTTGTGCTGATACAGACATACTAATATTTTAAGCAAACTTGTTATTATATGATTTTTTAATGCAAACTTTTATATGTCATATGCTTTAAATAGCTTTTTGTGTCTGCAACAGAGTAAAAAGTGTTTACCCTTTGTGGTGTGTGGCTGTAATGTACAGTAAAGGTTCCAAACACTGTTAATTCATTGGTATTGGAACAAAATGTTAAAATTGAGGGGAGAATTAAACAAAAAAAATTCTGAATTCTCAGGTTGTCCCTTTGTGCCTCTTGTTTTGTTTAGCACCACTTGTTTGTACTTTAAAACGTTTTGCTGGATTTCAAAATTATTTTCTTCTGCCTTCACATCCTAACGGTGGATCGTATGATTATTTTTCTTTTGTCATGGCTACCTTTCAGTTAAGAGACTTTAAGAATAAATATATTAGTGAACATTTTCCAAAGCAGAAACGTGAAAAGGACCGGACTATTACAGCAGCTGCAAGCTGTGTCTGTTTCAGGCTGATGTTTGGTTGTGTTCCAGATTTCCTTCCTTGGGCGGGCTGATGAAGTGAAGCAGCTTTCTCAGACGTGGGAATTCCAGTTATCGGACATCAGACAACTCAAACAAGGGTAAGTTTTTTGGTTACATTTTGCTTCATTATGCAAATATTTAACTAAATTAATAGTCTTTGAGGACCGGTACAGTATGTCGGTAGATTTCACATCACCCTAAATTAGCTCATTATCGGCTTCATTCCAACAATTTAACAATAAATGATTTCTCCCGGCACTTTGAGTGCTTTTACTTTGAAGAGACCTGGAAAAGCTTCAGATACAGTGGCCCTGCAGGACTCAGATGACTTCAGATTATCATTATAAAATTTGTTTCTGTCAGTAAATGATCCCATTACTGGCATTTGCAGTGAGTGGTGGACTTGTTAACCAATAACATCTTTACAGAGGCAATCTTATCCATTCTGCTTGCGTTTAGCTGACACAATGGTTATGGAGCATATTGATTTCCCCCAGTTCTGTTTTGCAGGGAGTTCTTCATGCCCGGGATGGTCGATACCCATATTCATGCACCACAGTACAGCTACGCAGGGACTGCTCTTGATCTGCCTCTCCTGCAGTGGCTAAACAAGTACACCTTCCCAGTTGAAAAGCAGTACAGAAACGCCAAGTTTGCAGAAGACACTTACACTAAAGTTGTGGTGAGCTATGCATCAAACAGGAAACGTTTTTTTGTACCAGTGGTGGCCAGGATTGGTCCTGGTGGGCCCTGAGTCCCTGCTCATTGATGCCTTTGATTGAGCTGCTTGTTCAGACTTTGCGTGTTTGTTTATTCAGCCCTTAGTTTAAAAAACATAGCACATAAAGCCTATTTCCAGTTTGTTAGTGTAGTACGTCATGCAGTCTTGTTAAACTGGCTTGTTAAGATTTTGCATTTCTGTCTAAACAGCTCTTAACAAGTGCTTTAAGATGAACAGACAGAGGTGGGAATGACAGTGTGTCAAACACTCCCACATTTTTTTTCTTCTGCACACCTGAACAGAAGGGAGTTCTGAAACTCACAAATTGTTAAAAATATGAGGTCAAAGATATTTTGTGGGTTTCAAAAAGAACTGGATCACTTTAGGTTTTATATAGCTCATTTGTGTGCTATATGCCTGCGTCTTACTGACAGCTTGGGTAGCAAAATCAGTATGCCAGTGAAAAAGTTTTAATTGTGATTATATTTATGTGTTGTAATGTAACACAAATACTACCAGCAAGAGGAAAAGCATGTCTATGTTTTGTGTTTGTAGAATAGATCACGGATTACCCCAGTATCCTAAATTTAGTTCTGTGGAAATATTTGATTTTGATTTCTGGCAGTCAGTGTCCTTAGTATGTTTTTCTGTCTTTCAGGAGACTCAAGACACATACATGAAGTTAGGAGCACTCTTGTGACTCAGTCATATTCATGTTTTATTTCTAATTAAAAGACTGCTCTTTAAAAATAATTGATCAATTTGAATATACGTATTTAGCGCAGCTAATATTACAGGCAAAATATGATTTTTTTTTGTCTGTGGTAAAGTATGATGAAAAAAGAGCAAGAACCAACACTAAGTTTTGGCATATTTAAGCTTTGATTCATTTGGTTAATATTGTAATAGCTGCTTACCTGATGGGAACTAAGAAAGATTTGCTTATGACTCCTAGGTTTTTTCAAATAATGTGTTTTAAATAAAGGCATATCTAGATTTTTAAAATTAAATTAAAAGGACTAGTAGAAGATTGGTATATAACCTGATTAATATGTAATGTTCCAGAAAAGAACCCTGAAAAATGGCACAACTACTGCTTGTTACTTTGCAACCATTCACACTGATACATCTTTGCTGCTTGGAGAAATTGCAGGTAAGTTATAATTCTCTATGATGCTTATAAATTTCCTTGAAAATCATCATATCTTGTTTAATAGCTGATATTTGTTATATTAAATAAAAACATTAAAGATAATGGACAAATATTTGATGAATTTTAGTAGAAATATTTAAAAAAACACACAAGCTGAGTGCATTTATTAAACTCAGTGGTTATTATTTTTCCTGTGGAAGAACTGTGGATAAATTGGCTGCTATATCATTTTGTAGGCATATTCTGGAAATTAATTTCAACCTAGTTAACCAGAAAAGTAGTTTCATTTTTACATTTTTGTATATTTAATGTCTTTACAAGAAGTAGGATTTGCTTTTATTTTTGCAGAAATTAACAAATACGTGTGTTACATACAGGCATACTGCTAAATAGTTTGTGGGAAAGCACATTTAATGTATTGGAGTATAAACTGTACCTGTTCTGGGCACAAAAATGAATAATCTCAATATACATGTCTTATAATAAGGTTAGGTTGTGCTGTGACAGTGTTGTTGTGAATTAACAGGAACATTAAATACAGAAGTAATGTTTAATGTTCAGTGAAAGTGTCACAGCTTTTTAGGCAAAATGATGTATGTTGTTTTTTTTTGTTTTTTAGATAGGTTTGGGCAGAGAGCTCTGGTGGGTAAAGTCTGTATGGACAGGAATGAAGCGGTGATTGACTACAAAGAGAGCACAAAAGAGTCTGTGGAGGAAACTAAACGGTAGGTGGGTTTATGCAATTGTTTTCTTGTGTCTTTTGTCGAGGGCGAGGTTGTAGTTGTTTGCTGTTGAGGATGTGAGAATGTTACAAAAAGTCAATTTTAGCAACTGAAAAGTGTTCTGGTTCAGCTCCTGGGGTTGGAAACCTTAAATGTGTTAGTCCCCATTTGTCACTTAATTCATCTATAACCTGGATTCTCATCCTAATCTAACAATCTATTCTTAACATCCCATCCTGTCAGCTGTCAAAGACAAGGTTCTCCAAACCCTTTTACATTATGCTAGTGGAATTAATCTTACAAAGTTTTACAATGCTTCATGCATACATTTAAGATCTGCTTTCTCACGGATTTGGCTTCTGTGTGATCACACAGCTAGATTTTATCTGAAGCAGTGCAATATAGGTGCTACTACACTGTGGGTGTACAGAACTAAGTACCAACCAAAATGCATATCAGCAACAGTCATAGTGAAACTTATAGACCATGCAGCTTAAAACAGCCAAATTAACAAAAGGGGGCAGAACAGTGTCCTCTCATGTGCCTCTTTAATTATTTCTTCTGCTTTTTGTTTTTTTTCTCTGTAAATTGTCATAGTAACTTACTAGTAACTTAGTAAATTGTTATATTAACTTTTAGTCTTGAGCTTCACTTTTAATTGAATGTCATATTCTAAAATATTATCAATTATTCACTTGCTCGCATCAAATCAAAAGTTTATTAAAAATGCTATTTTTAACTAAGGATTGAAATTTCATGGTTTAAATGTCATTAATTGAAGCAGATGTCAAAGACAAACTACATGCTGTAGTTCACTTTAAAACAACAGTCCATAATTTGCCATTCTAAATACTTGTAATTATAGCCTATGCAGAAATTTCCCAACCTTCTATTTTAATAAAGGGTTGAGCCAGTAGATTGCAGTGTATGTTTATCACAAAAGACTAAAGTATTAAGGTGGGATTAGATTGCAAAAACTTAAAGCCCTATTAAAAACATAGGATCCTATGGATCCTATGTCTATAGGATCATCAATTTCCCTTCGGGATCAATAAAGTCTTATCTATCTATATTCAAAAGACATAGGCAAGGCCAGTGGTGGTTTTTGTGCCCAAGTGTTTTGAAAAAGGATTGATACGACTTAGTACAAGTTGATTTTTTCCAATAGTAGCACATCACTATTGTGTTGTAAAACCTTGTTGTTTATAATTTGCAGGTTTATTTATGAGCTTTTAAAAAGGAAGGTAAGTGATTTTAATGAAAGATTACAGTAAAACTTTAAAAAGAAGCTCTTGGCTCTTTGATGGGTGTAACATGTTTCAAGAAGTACAGTAGTGTCAAAATGCTATGGTTTGAAGTGATTCCAAAATGTGCAGTTTTTATTTTGTTACACATTACCTCACATTTTCGAACACCATATAAGACTTGTAGAGAATGTGCTTTATGTCACAAAAGTAAAATAGGATCATAAGATATTTGTAAATTGTCTTAAATTCTTTAATTTTTACAAATGAATTCAAAGATACCTAAGGTAATATAGCAAACTCATGTCAAATGTTCTCCTGTTGAAGTATCCACAGGTAAAGCCCATCATCACTCCACGCTTTGCACCTTCATGTTCTGAAGAACTCCTGCACAGTCTGGGTCAGATAGCAAAGAGCAATGACTTGCACATTCAGGTACGATTTTCATCACAGACATTGCCAAAGAATTATAGTGAATTCACAAAGGCATGTCAAATGTCAAATGAGGTCAACTGTTTTTGGCAATTATCAGTTGGCATAGTTTTGATGTGTCTATTAACTAGAATTTTGTTGTGTAAATGTTCTCTTCCTCTGATTGTGTTGATCAAATGCCCTAACCCCAGCCCCAACTTAAGTAAGGTGGTGTGAGGGGTCAGAACAACAATGACTTAAGAACTACAGTGAAGTACAGAAAACCTGCAAAGATACACACACTGGAAAATGCAACTTCCATCTAACGCCGTGAGGCTCTCTACATTTCCATGTTCCAGAGTTCACACCCATGTGAGAATGTGCCCTCAAGCCCTTCACCAGTTATATCATTCATTTACTTACCACACCCCAGTGTGTCTGTTTACAGTAATAGAGGCGTTTAACACCCTCTACTGACAACTTATTCATAGTAATTCCTCAATGGAAAAACATATCCCTGCATGTTGAATGTGGAATATCATTTTGTGTGTTGTTTTCTTATAAAAGAGAAAAGACTTTTCATTTTCATATTCTCTTTTTTTGTAGAGTCACATTAGTGAAAACAGAGAAGAGGTGGCACTGGTAAAAAATATGTTTCCTGCCTGCAGCTCGTACACAGATGTGTACAGGGAGTACAACCTTCTGACGAGCAAAGTGAGCAGCCAGAAGTGTCTCTTTTACTGTTCAGCCTTTCCCCACACTGATTTTAAGATGAATCATTATGCAATTAGTTATTCAGTACATTCAGCATGCAGATAGAATGTCGTTCTCCCTACATGACAGCAATTTAATTAATTAGAAAATGTTAAATTGGTGTCAAAACTGTGAGGAGAGCTGTTCTTACTTTTAGACAATACCTAGAGACAGCTGGAGCCAGGAGAGTGTCTGCTACCAGTGATGACAGACTAGATCTCCAGAACCACCTATTATAGGTTAGAGGATTAAGCTACATTATTGAGGAAAGACAACAGACCATGTCCTCCAATTTGTATACTTTTTGTTTTTCTTATTACCCCTACTTGGATCATTTTCAGTGTGCTAGAAGTTTTAGATCACGTCTGCAGCAATCATGAATTACCTTTTACAATCATGCTTTGCTATGTGGTACAACCTAATGTGTAGAAAGCAAGACTTTGAATTATAAATAATTATTATTATCTGGCATCCACAGCACACTCAAATACAGAAAAAATATTACCAACAGATGTTGTGTAATTTACATCACTTTTGCAGCATTAAAAACATCCATAACAATATCAATATTTAAAATTATGTTAACCATAAGAAACCCACATTCATAGTAATAGACAAATAGTACTTCCACTAATAAAATTCTATAATGTGTATTACTGGTCCCAGCATATCAAATATTAGATGTATACATAATATTGCTTACTTTTTAATTAACTCAATTTCTTATTGATTCTCATGGTAGAATACTGGATTATTACTCATGTGATGACCTGGGTAAGACTGGAACTTAGGGACATAGTATAATGATGTCCATTGTCTTAAATTGTATGAAGTTACAGTTTTGACAGAGGCAACAGTTCTTAAAGGTGAAATCAGGTGCAGTGAGTAACTGTTTCATTAACTTTAAACAGCAAGAATGCTGCCTTTTTATGAGACTCTTTCTGTACTCTGAGCTGGGCACCTTAACCAGACTGCTCCATAACCAACGCATCAGTGTAAATAAGCCACTTCGGATAAAACCATTATCAAGACAAAAATTGTAAGGAATTTCCTGTACTTCCTCTTGTACAACTAGAGGTTCCAAGTGAAAACTAAATACAAGTTTATTTCTGCAGACAGTGATGGCACATGGCTGTCATCTCACTGATAAGGAGCTTGAGATGTTTAAAACCAGTGGCGCTGCAATTTCTCACTGTCCCAATTCCAATATCTCGTGAGTATCAGAAAATGCTGTGGTAAATTGCTTTTGTTTGATTATTTGAGAGTCAAGCAGATTGACACACACAAACTATGTTATGAAATGTTTTGGCACAAGTGGTCCAGTTTTGTTACGTGCAGCATAAAGGATGTGTATGGTATCCCACAACTCATTATAGCCATTATATTTTCCAGCCATGCAGCATAAGAGCAGGCAGTGTTGCAATTTACGCTAATTGTTATTACAGCTCTCGTTTACCTATTGAGATTTAAGACTTCCCAAACTCCTCTATGAGTAACATTATAAAGAGCACAATGTTGTGGAACATCCCAAAGTGGACATGCCTGGCAGCCCCTGTTGTACAAGGGCTGTAGTGTAGAAACAAATCACGTACTTGTCCTGAAAGCCATCACAAACGAGGTCAAAGAAAGGTATGTAAATGAGCCAGTGTGTGTACTATGTGTAGGAAATGATTGCATTTACATGTTATAGCACAGCTGATGATCATGTGTGTGAGTGCACAGAAATAGGTACAAAGCAATAAAGTAATAATTAAGGGGGAGGGAGGAGTGATGAGTCCTGCTATTGTGCTTCCAGTAGTAAAGTCTAGGTGTCACGACAGCCTAGAGAATATTCCCCTCTATAATTCACTGGCCTTGCCAGTTTAGTATGAAGGTGTATTGGTTTGGGTGTGTTCCTCACTCTAAAACACTGTGACTGTGAATGTTTTGGAAAACAGCACACTTCACATCATAAACATCCATGGGACAATGGAGTTTAATGAGTAGTGCACTGTTTTCCAAAATGACACAATCCATACTGGCAGTACAGAAATCTGCACTTAACGGGAAAAATCTAAATTACTTAACATGACCGATGAAACTATCTCCTACATGAATAATATAAAATATTGGGGAAAAAAGAGAAAATGAATAGAAGATCCCTATACACGGAACAAATGGATCAAAATAATTTGTTCCCCAGTGGATCTCTTGTCCACCTTTTCAGTCCCTTTTGAATTTTAATGTAGACTCTAAACAAAGCAGTCTTAATCCATCTCTCCATTATCAGAAACCTGCTCATCCTGGCGAGAATATTAGTAAGACTGCAAGAGTCCATCTTGGACGTTCAGTGTGGAACTGTGTGAATGGGATTATGAGCACATGACTGCTTTCCCTCTGGACAGGACACCAGCCCATCACAGGGGCAGAGAAAGAAAAACAATTTCGAACAGCCACTCAAACACTCTGTTACCATTATCACTACCACCTCCCTTCTCTGTGGTCAATCAATCTACAGACACAATTGCCTAATCAGGCTGACTGCCACTCTTGCAGTTTGATAAACCAAACAGAAATACAGATCCAAATTATTCCAGCTAATAATTTCTCCAGACTTTGTGGTGATATCAGAGAGGACATCAACTGACCAAAATCTCGGGAGAAGAAAGTCTCACATTATCCAATTGTGAATCTAAGGTGACTTCATCCAAGGTTAAAGAGATATTTACTGTGAATAGGTTAAAATATAATCAATTCCTGTTATACACTCATTAACAAAACCACATATTTCAAGGAATATTTCAGTTTGGAATGCACAGAATATCTCAAAACATGATCATTTCAGACAAAACTTTTACCACACGTACAGAAAACACATATGCAGATACACAGATGTTGTAAACATCTACAGTAGACAGCAGGCACTGTAGATCGATGAAGACGGATTTTCTTAAAAATAAACATAGAGACCAAAACAGGAATCAGGTCAGTCTTCAAAACTGAAAATAAAAATGAAATGCACCATTCTGTTTAAATGGTGTGGTGGGCACACCGGGCAGGTAATTGACTGATATTCCTTGGCTCTTGAGCAGCCTGTTAAACCAACCTGAGTGGTCACTATATTATTCACTAATACGTTACATGTGTTTAGGCTCAGGTATTTAGGAATCCAGTGATCTTTATATGTTATGTTAACAATAACCTCCCGACTCGCGGTTGTTTTGCAGGCTTTGCAGTGGGATGTTAGATGTCCGTCGAGTTCTGAAACATAATGTGAAACTGGGACTAGGCACAGGTAAAAAAGGCGCTATTCATTTATGGAAATGCATAATTCAAGATGCCGAAAAAAAACATTCCTGGAAAAGAGCAAAGTATAATCCTTGCTGGCAAAACCTGTAATGTATTACACAACTTTATCTTCAGCAATTAACTAGTAAAACGTCAGATAATGTGATGAATGCCTAAACCCTGCAGATCTGCCTTGTTTCTCTGATTTAGCTGAAGATAATTTATCCAGTATCTGCTATAGTCTTTATCTGTTGCATGCAATGTGAAAATAATATGATTACAAATGTTTTTTATAGATGTTGCTGGTGGTTACTCACCCTCAATGCTTGACGCTATCAGAAGAGCTCTTGATACATCCAAAGCACTCAAGATCCAAAACCCTGGATATGAAACTGTCTCCTACAAGGAATTCTTCAGGCTGTCTACTCTAGGGGGAAGTCAAGGTGGGCATGAGGGACAGTGCAATACTGGAAGACTGCATTTGTGTTACTGATTGCTGCTGACACTTACACTATTGTTAGTGTGGTGTGCTACCGTATGTAAGAACCTTTAACCACATATGTTTAACACACTGGTATATAAGGTTTTCAGCTTAACTCATTAATAGGGTCGCAGTTTATTTTTTCCAGCAAAGTACCCTGAAGGCTTTATACATTTCATTATAAGAAAAGAATGACGCTAACATGTTACTACATGAGCATTTAACAACAGAAAAAAAACCTATGCTATGAGCATGGCAGTCAGACATCACAATCATGAACAAACACTTTAATGAGTATTATTTATATATAGTTCAGGTAGGTAGCTGCCTCAGCATGCAAAGGCTACAAAGGAACAAGTGATAGGTTTATTCCATGCTGAAAAAAAGAAGAAAGAGAACACAACATTTAGGCCGTGGAGCCCTCTTCAGGTGACACCTGAAGAAGGCTCCACGGCTGAAACATTGTGTTCTCTTTCTTCTTTCTTTCAGCATGGAATTAACCTATTTCTTGTTCCTTATTTATATATACAGTGCTTCACTGGGGTATAGTTGTCATTAACACTTTTCTGGGCTTCAGGGGTGGTTCAGACTTTAAATAATAAAATCTTTGCTCTTGTGGAGGGTAATTAATGAAAATACTTTGATGCTTATTCTTTTATGTTTTGGACTAGATTCGATACAACCCTTTACTGTGTGACCCCACCATGTTGTTTAAGTATTCACCACTCTTTTAAGAAACAGGTAGAAATGATAATCGGATCAGTCGTCTGCGAGTAGCAACACGAGCTGGATGGAACACATGACCTCTTCTCTTCTTTTGTATTATTTCCTGATGAGCTCTTATAGCAACTCACTCCTGAAAAAAATATATTTTAATATGTAGCTTTTTTAATATAATAATATACCTTGAAGAATCTACCTAAACCAGATGATCTTGATCCTTAGATTTAAAGAATAATGTTTTCACAGCCTTGTCTTTGGATGACACAATTGGAAATTTTGAAGTGGGCAAGGATTTTGATGCTGTTCTAATCAGCCCATCAGTTCCAGACAGTCCTTTTGATGTTTTTGAAAGTGACACAACAGAGGTATTTATGAATTTCTTCATGAGATCAATACTTTTGATGACAATTTTATAACCTAAAAAAAGTAATCAGATTTCGGAGTTGTTTTGTGAAGTATAAATCAGAAAAGCTGAAGATGAGAGGTGGCCATAAATACTTTATAACAGAAGTCTGGAAGGAAATGAAGATCCTAATCTTACCTTGTCTGCTTTCTTATGTATATATCATGCCTTCTGAACTTACCTTGTAGCATTCCTCTCACACCCTTCCACCACCCAATCTTCACCCCTGTAGCAGCTCCCTGGCTCATTCCTCACAAAAGTGAGGTGGAGGTTGGTCAGCCTCATCCTTGCACTCAGGGTGCTGTTTCCTCCACTAGGCAAGTTAAGCCAAATAACGTTAAATCCATTCATCACAATCGCATACATTAGGATCTAAGTGAACTACTGGAATGGATGCTTTTAAACATTAAAAATTTTTTCCCTATTGTTACAAAACTAACTTACTATTACATGTCATGTCTTTTCAGAACATTCTGGAAAAGTTCCTGAATTTAGGTAAGCAATAAATGTAATAGTAGGTAGATGATAAATGACTTAATTGAACCATGACTTGTCATAACAAAACCCGAAAAACAAATGAAAAACCTACACATTGAATATTAGGTAACAACATGCAACATCAACTGAATATAAAAACGATGTGGATGATTCATGGCAATACAATCTGATGTGTACAGTCTGCATTCCTGTAAGTTAAAAGACAGAAGGAAATGAAGATCGACACACATTCCTGTCCTGACATATTTTCATTTAATTGTTCTCAGCTGCATGAATGTGGAAAATCTTTTGTAAAGTAATGAAAAGTTAAAAAAATACTTAACTGAAGAATGGTGTAAATATAATATTTACATCTTCCTTTTCAGGTGATGACAGAAATATCGTGGAAGTTTATGTGGCCGGAAACAGAGTGGTTCCTTTTGAAAAGTCTGCTTGAGTTACTGCCTTCTCTATAAAGTATTCTCTTTTTGCTTGGTGTTTCTTTGTATGCAGAAAAACAATTGGTTGGTGATCATCTACCAGAATTTTGTTTTAAGGTAACAGTTCTGAGATATAACAGGTATATTGGTATAGGTCTTAAGTAACTTTCGAATGCTTATAACAAGGTTATATTTTAAATACAGTTAATGTCTAGAATGGCTAACAACTGCATTGTAGGGTATGGATTTGCTTAACATTGCATTTTAATATTGTATAAGAAATACTTCTTATATTAGTGTATTACTGAAATATTTCTATTTTATCTGCCAGCTAATCTCTCATTTAGAATATTTTGGACTGTTACGGTGGCTTTATGAAGGATCACCACTTATCTTTGTTAGCTATTCCTATAGTGTGTAAGAAACATTAACTATGTTGATTTATTAAGTCCCAAAGTTCAAGTTGAAAAGTAAGCTGTTAAAATTGCTGTTGGTGTCCCATCCAGGGTATAGTCCTGCCTTGTGCCGTTTTTTCCAGTTTACAGTATATTCTGGGCTGAAACTGCCCTACTGAGGAATAAGTATTTATGACATTTGAAGAGTTGTGCTATGTTTAAAAAAGTTAAGTACTTGAAGAAAAGAGAAATTGCACTGCATTGGTCTTTAGCTTATGCAGTATTAGATCATCACAGCATCTTTGGTGATTTACATTACAAGATACTAGATGTTTATTTATTGATTTTCTCTAGTGTTTTTTCGAGATGTAGCTGTATCACGATAGTATAAAAAATAGCACTCCTTATTTTATATAGTACAATGCTATAAAAAGTGCAAAATCACACAAAAGACAAACCTAGTTTGCTTCAAGCGCTACCTTTCAGTACTGTCTCTATGAATGCAGCCAGGCAACTGAAGACCTTGCCACCTCAAAAACAAATACTCTTCTGAACTGTTTTCACGACACACGAGGCAAGTCTGTCAGTCATCATCAGTCAGTCACCTCCATGCCCTCCTCTTCTTGTGATGTAGCGCATCTCGGAGACTCTGCTCTCTTCCTCAACAACAGAACTTGGTGGCCCCAGGAAACCTCCTAGTTATTAAAGGTCTTCTCTAATTGGTTTGGAGGCTGAGGGAATGTGCAGTCTGGCACCCTCTTAGAAAGGATAAGTAGAGTCTTTGTTTCCTTCCACTTGATGTCTGTTCTTCTCCACTGACATATACTGTATCTGAAAAGGTTTTTTGGAGGTTTTGTCATTATTTTGGCAGAAAGGATTTTAAAGTGACACAATGTTCTTCACAACAACACCTTTAAAATAAAATATGAAGATGGAGTGACTTACTTCACAGCAGTGTATTTCAATTCATATCCATACCTTGCAAGTGTCACCACCACTTCAGAACTGGCAAGGCTTTAAATTTCAAGCACATGGAATAGTAAAACTTAGCTAAGAGAGTCCTCTCGTGTAAACATGTGTCCACAGACTTAGCACTAGGTCAACATAGTAACTGGTGAGGTCATTCACCTGCTGTAGGTCTTGGTTAAATAAAAAAAAAATGCTGAATTGAGTGGTGATTCCAAAAGCGATATTCTGTGCTCAATAATAGACTGTATGAATGAGAATTACTAATGCCATCTATGCTGAATATTAACATATTGATAAAAAAGTAGCATTGCAAACTATTTCACTAGTGTAGCTAGGGATCCATTCCAGTGTTAGGTCCAGGCTGCGCATAAGAAACCAGATAATTATTAGGTTATGGTGAATTTTAGAATTCCCTGATGAGATAAATATTATCTCCCACAAATACTTGTGAAATGGTCAATGCCTTGTAGACTTCAAGTGTGTGTCAGGGCACAAGGTCATTGCAATATCAGTGACCCCTGCGTGTTTCATGACATTTGCTATGGCATAGCCAATCCATAACAACGCAGACTGTGGTTGTTTCCTGTCATCCTGCTTCATGCATTGATAAACTAAATCTATCGATCTATAAATTTGCCAGATTAACCTTCACAGCCATAAAACAGTTTTCACTCACAAGATTGCATTTTCACTGTTTATTTCCAAAGAGTTTCAAGCTTTCATTAACCATTAAGAAGATTATGTTCAGTATGATAGGCATATAAAAAAAAACCTGCTAGTCTAGTGGAAATCTTGAGTTTAACTAAAGTGGTCAAAACGTCCATTGCAGATGTAAGCTTTTAAAGTGCCCTGTGTCAGGACCATATGGAAAAGGATCACTTTTTCCACAGGTGTATGAGACACTTATCCATTCCTAATGTACCCAATGAGCATTTTACAGTAAATAAGGGAATATTCATGATTTCAAACATGTTATAACTATGATTATGTTTGATATTTATATTCTGTAATCCACAGACTGCTAATGTGTGGGTATCAAATCATGAAGCTTCTATATGTTGCAAGCTTTTTTTGTGATAAAACTGTCAAATTGTGTTACAAGTTTCAGTATCAATAAAAAAAAGTGTAGTTTAACTCCAATGGAATGTGCTTGCTGAATTTTGGTCTTTGGAAAATGTTTTAAAATCCCCACCAAATCTTGTGAGGTCCGATGACATGTTAAAACAGAAAATTATACAAGATATGCTTTAAACAACAACAGAAAGCAAAAAAAAAAACTGGTTTTCCTAGTTCCTCTAAATTCATAGCAGATAGATCAAATTTCTGCCTACCCACCCTTGGGGAAAATGACTTTATTCTGCACATATTGTCATCATCTAGTGACTTGCTGAAGAGTCATACATAATCTGACACTTATCTTACCATTTGTCATGTTGTCTGGCAGATTCTTTGATTTGTTAAAAAATGCTACACCCTCTTTGTTGCGATAAACAACTGAGCCCTTCACCTCAGTAAACAGCCCCAGTCTTTAAAACAGTCCACAATCCAAAGGTGGGGGGTCCTTATATGCAGATATAAGACTGCAGATACATTTACTTTTTTAGAAGATCATATGTTTCGGGCAGAACGGTGATGCAGCGCTTAGTATTGCTGCCCTGGGTTTAATTTCTGGGATGCTATCTGTGTGGAGTTTGTGTGTGTTTCCTCCGGGTGTTTGCTGTCCCCCTTAGTCCAAAGACATACTGGTAGGTTAATTGGCTTCTTGGAAAATTGGCCCTGGTGTGAGTGTGTGTTTATGTCTGTGCGTGTCCTGCGCGAGACTGGCATCCAGTCCAGGGAGTATCCTGCCTTGCACCTGTTGCTTACCAGGATAGGCTCTGGCTCCCCCCATGAAAACAAGAAATATTACAAACAACAGGAAGCCATTTGGCCCACCTAGCCTGCTTGAATTTCATCTTGGCTCTTTGGAGCCCTATCAAAATAATTGCTTAATTGAACCAGTTTAACAATTTCCCTAAATCCTTTTTTAGATAAGTAGATAGAAAATCTGTAATACTTGTTGGACATTGGGTGACATGGACTAAAGCAGAAGTCACAGTCTGCCTCAGGATTTGTTTTTCTTGCAGGAGTTCCCAATTCTGGGGCTCGGGACGCAACATCTTTGCTGGTTTTTGTTTCCACGTGAGCACTCAGTTAAATAACTGAATGCGTATTAGACTTAATTATACAGTTAATCTGAACTTTTTAATTGTTTAATTGTTCTCAGTTCCTAAGCCTGGAGGCGGTCACCTTCCCACATCTGAATTTCTTAAGTGACTTCAAATCTCCAGTATTTGAGTGAAGAAACCGCAGATTCTAACCAAACAACTTTGTTGGTTTGATTAAGGATTTATTTAGGTAAAGTGCTTAGCAGCAATAAAACTCAGCAGATGTGTGGGTCCCCAGAACCAGAAATGTAACCCAGGTTTACACTGAAAAACAGAAATGACATGAGCCATTTATACAGTACCAAGCAAAACCACAAGGTGGGGTTCCTGAGTCTCTGACATACTTCAATATCTCAAATACCTTTGATCTCACAAGGACACTTGGGAGGTTTAATGTTGTACTGAATTCAAGTATGTAGAACATAGATGGTTCCTATCTGAGATATTAAAATAATGCTAGAAAAGTTCAATTGGAAGGCTACTGTATCAATTAAAAAACTTGCAAAAGCAAACCCTGCACTTTTGCCTTCAAGTTAGATCTTAGATCTAAGTTAAACTGAAAAGATAATTCTAAGCTCTACTGAGAATTTTAATTTAACAGCTTTTAATTCTATCAGTGCTGCAAAATAATACTAATTGTGCAATGATTATAGGTAGACGTCTATAGCTGGATGATGCCATTGCACTAACTGTAACAATTACACCTAACCAGCTCTGCCTGTGGTGCTTTAGCTCACAATGACATTGAAAGCTAGTTGTGATTCTTTAGCTGCCCTCTAAACTGATCACTAGTGAACAGAACCAGCCTAGCTTGTACAGGAAAATCATCAAAGAACATGAATGGATCTTGGATGCTTTCTGAGAATGCTTCTGCTTTGATCTGTGGCAGAAAATTATTTTCTTAAGACATTTCAAATGATCTTTCATGCAGATTCTCCTTCTTAGTTTTAACTAGTTGGATTCTCTACAACTGCTTACACATAACACTTTAGTACTTTAGTAACCTTATGTTCACTGTGTTTAGAGTAAGATGGCTTGAAAGTCCATATTGTATTCCATGTTCCTGTCGAAATTTAAGAAACATTTCTTACCATGGAGCAATCCTCGCTGACAAGTTATAATTAAACCCACTGAAACGATCTCCCTGTCTCCTTAAATGCGAGAGTGACTCATGCTAGTAGCTCTTATCTCCTGGGGCTTATGAATCACAGGATTACATGATTTTTTAGAAAGGGTCTGTGTCTGGAACAGTCAACTACTGCAGTAAAATATACAGTATTAACACATACTCTCAAGGCAAATGAGCCATCCTATGTGTAGCATCAAGTTACTCAGTGTCTGTCAGCCACAGGATCTGGCTGCATGCCAGCTATCTCAGTCATGAGTTGATTTCAAGCTGGGTTTAGAGGTACTATGGGCCACCAGCAATGCATAAGTGAATGTGTAATAATGAGCCTTATCATTGACTCTTGTCAATGAGAATAAGATCACAGGCTGGATTTTCCTCAGAAAACCGTATACTGGTTTGGTTGAAATATCAGTATCAAAGTATGACTTAAGAAGGAGATCACAAGAAATCAAAACTATGACATGTTACCATATGTATGTTTTCTTTCACTCACTTTCACCAGGGGATAAATAAATCTTACAAATATTTTTATCACGAAACTGAAGACAAAGTAGTTCGGCTCTAGAAGGCTTGCACCTAAGAGCTTATTTTCTCTGACATTTTTCTAATTCTATGTACAGATGCCTCACCTAAAACTAACCATTTGTGTCAGATTCATACACAACAGCATTACCTGATTTCGATTCTATACTAGACCTGTACTAGTTTGATAAAACAGTTAATTCATTGATTTAAATGAAGACCATTCAGTTCCTTATTTAGAAATAATATACAGAGAATCCTTAGTAAGAGACCACTCTTACTAAGATCCCTTTAATGCCTTTCATTGTGCCATTGTAACCTATGTTAAAAAGTTAAACAGATATACAATAAAATACCAAAAGTAAACAGGAAGGACTCAAGAACAAAGGAAGAGTTACAAATGAGAGGAAGCCTTTCAGTTTATCTAGCCTATTTGGTAGTTAGTAACTAATTGATCTAAAGATCTCATCAAGTTGTTTCTTGAAAGAAGTAAGGTCTCAGATTTAATAACATGGCTGAGTATCTTGTTACATACTCCCACAACTCTTTGGATAAAGAAGTGCCCCCTTTTCTCAGCTTTAAATGCACTTCCATATAGTTTCCACATGTGCCCTCTTGTTTGTGTTTCGCTGATATTTCTGAAGAAATTTGTTTGGCTGACTGTCAGTGTCCTTGAGGATTTTGAATAGTTGTGTGAAGCTCCCTCACAATCTTCTCTGTTCAAGAATAAAAAGGTTCTGTTCCATCAGTGTAGGACAGTAAAGTGAGACCCAGAATCTATCGGGTTGCTCCCCTCTGGACAGATTCTAGAATAGCAATATCTTTTCTATAACATGGTGAGCAAAATTCTACACAACATTCTAAATAAGGCCATAACATACCCATAACAAATACAATTCTAAATAAGGCCATAACAGTTTTACATTTCAAACTGTGTATTAGCCATCCTTGACATTTCGGACACCAGTGATTCTGCATGTTTATGTTTTTTTTTATCAGAATAGACTTCTGGTGTGTGAAAAATCTTGAGATGACAAATTTCCAAAGAACTTAAAATCATTGGCATTGTAATGAGCAATATATATAGTGAACATGTTCTTATTAATTTTAGGTACATTTCCCCAACAAATCAGTGGTATACCCTCTGTTGGATCTTCTAAGCAAATAATTCCAACAGAGGAAATCATTGATAAGTTATTGAAGTACAGCATGATAAATGTGTCAGCTGCAGTGTTCCTGGCCTCAACAGAAATCTGGACTGGAGAAAGCTTCATATAAATAATTCCTGGTATTGCCAGGTTCCAGTTACACCAGGGTAGGTGACTGCAGTGAAGTCAGGCAACCAAATTATTTTCTGTTGCTGTGAGAGATCAAGATTGGAGTCATCATTTAAAAGGAATATCAGGAGCATGTAAGGAATTATCCTGTCTGGAAAACAGTACAAAGAGTCTCCAAAACACAGTGACATCCAGATCCTCCCTGAACATGTGTTAAAAAGGAATTATTTTTTTCACCTGCAGTTTTCAAATCCCAATTCCAAATAGTAACAGCAGCTAAAGGTCTGTAAGAAGACTATAAAAGAAGACAAGTCTTTTATTTGCTTCTAAAGTTAAAATACTTTTGTTATGTAAATATCACTGCCTCCAAGCAGACATCATAAGCACACATCTTTTTTCTTTGCAGATGTAAACAAAAAAAAAGAAAAGATGGGTAACAAGTATTGAGATTGTAAGGCCTGTAATGAAGAAAGACCATCTTAATTGCAAGTGTTTTTTGGAATGTGTATACCTTTGTTCCTCCAATGAGGAAACAAGAGATAAAGTTATATAATTATGAAAAATAGAAATGTTGTTGTGTCTTGAGAAGTTTTTATGATTTTAAGCAATTCAATTTTATATTGTCTAAGAGGAAAACTCTTTATCCTTTCAGAAAGAAAGGGATTCCTAAGGCTTTTGAAAAAAATGTGGCTATTTAATTTTTCAGAAATAAAGTTTTTTGAGGTTTTGCAGCCATAGACTATGATTTTTCAACCAAAAGTATGCATAGCCCTTCTGTGCAGACGTACTAAGAAGAAGCCATGGATTTTCATTCCTGTGGTTTAATGATGACAAACAATAAAAAATCTTGAGAACGTTAAAATGTTTTGGATAATTCTTTACTGAGACTTTTCTTACTTAATACTTAACACAATATCGCAGAGTTAAAATATAGTTAAAGGTTCAGATCATTTGGTTTATCACCAGTTAATAGAATATCTTTTAGGTTTATTTTTGTATTTATTGTACAT